GATAATAATTTATGAATGTAAATACCTTTAAGTCATCATATGACCCTCTTAGAAGTTTGCTGAGGCCCTTTGCTGAAATCTCCACCACTAATGCACAGAACTTCTGTATTGAATGCACAAACACAGACAGGAAGAGCAATAAAAACAGTGAAAACTCCAAGTCAAATTCAAGGACTGCTTTATGTATATATTTTATGTGTACCCCCCACCCCCCCCCCACACAACACACACATACACATTATATAATATTTTCATGTGTAGAAGGTCACAGTCACACACAAGGGGTCCTTAGGGATTTCTCTGAGAAACACATAATCCATGCTCAACCAGCCCTGCCTATCTCCTTCTATTCAGCACTGTATATAAGCAACACAATGTCTCATTGTGTGTGTGTGTGTGTGTGTGTGTGTGCGCGCGTGTGCGTGTGTGTGTACTCCTCCCTCTCTTACAGCACACTAATGCAATGAATGATTGGCACAGCTGACTGAGCTGATAACAGCTACATCCTCTACATACCCACCCACTGCTAGGCACGCACATACCCGGCTGAGGTTAACCCTCATGGGCCACAGACCTATACTCTGCCACGGCATCTATTCCCAGAAGCCTGGATCAAAACCACAGCTGGGCTTCAAAAACTGGCCTATGTGGTGGGGTCACATTGCTGTCTAATTACCAGTGGTTTACAGTCTCAGGCTGGATCTTGAAAAAACCTTCAGTGATTTTTATTTCATTTCGATTTTTATAATTGAATGAGAAGTGTGTAATTTCTGCCACTAGCAGCACCAAACAGAACTGCAATCTGTCTGAATGCCCTAAAAAGGCAGAGTAATAACATTGGCTCAACTACAGGAGTAAGTATGGTTTTGGACTACCTGTTTGTCTCAACAAATTTGTTTGCAATTTTGTTTTGAGTCGAAGTAATAACCACCAAAATAAAATTAGGTTAGTATGCTTACAAGCTGTATCAGAGTTTATTAGTGAATTGTTTGCCATTTAGCTCCCTGAAATTGATGGTGTTTCACCTGCCTATTTAAAAGTCTGCGCTGACCAACTGCCCTCCATCTTTACACAGATCTTCAACAGATCTCTGTAGCTGTGTGAAGTTCCCTGCTGCTTCAAATGCTCCACTATCCCAAAAACCCCAAATCATTGGACTTAACGACTACAGACATTTCGCTCTCACGTCTGGGGTGATGAAGCCATTTGAGAGACTGGTGTTGGCCTATCTACTGGATCCTCTTCAGTTTGTATACAGAGCAAACAGGTCTGTGGATGATGCAGTCAACATGGGACTGCATTATATTCTGCAACATCTATGAACCTGGGACTTACGCAAGGATCTTGTTTGTAAACTTCAGTTCGGCCTTCAATACCATCATGCCTGACCTTCTCTCAGACAAACTGAAAAACAATAGTTTTTTTCTCTATCTTTATACTTCTGTATTATATTGCATTATTTAATTTCCTTATGTTAGTGTTATATTTCATCTCTACTGTGTAATTCCTATATCTGCACTATCATGTATGTTTGCACTATGTCAGTACTCTCTTCTGCACTGGAAGCATCTGTTGCCAAGACAAATTCCTTGTTTGTGTAAACATACTTGGCAATAAAGCTCTTTCTGACGACGACTAATTTATTTTATTTTATTTCATTTTATTTTGCTTTTAAAGATGTGAGACACAAACGCTCGCAATTCTTGTCCCGGCTCCACCGTCTTCTGATTGGTCCGCTGTTTCATAACTGACATTGATAAGCTGCACTGCACAATTGTGCTTTTCTCTGAGTACACACAACATGTAAGTACAATTCAAGATATGTCCTGCTTTTTTCATGAGAGCATAACACACAGCTGTGATTAAAAGCAAAATGTAAAACTAAAGAGTAATGGATCTAGACAGTTTTATTGCAGTCACCCTTTTTCGGAACTACAATCAGTTTTCAGTCATCATTCAGAACAGGGCAAGCCGAGGTGAGCTGTAAGCTGCCTCTTCTGAAGATGACATTATTCAGGTCAACCCATTGACATGTCACACCCCTTCAGTGACCCTAAAAGAGGTGTAGAGTGCACACACTGAGGGCATCTGCATTAGCTGTAATAGAAGTCTGACTTGAGGTCAGAGGTTAAGCACTCTCACACTCCATCACTGACATTTATAAACTCGAGACAGAATTTCACACCTCCCAATGACACACCTGCTCGCTAGCTCTGCACTTCTGTTTCTCTCTGCGTCTTCAAGTAGAAGGAGAGAGAATGCATTTACGGTGGCTCAAGATATGCTTAACCCTGTAAAGCCTGACATACTAAAAAAAAGTCAGAAAAATCTATTTCTATTGTTATTATTGAAATGGAACAGTTTATTAAATCTTTAGACAAGATACAAAAACATCTTTTAAAACCATGCTATGTTTATATCATATTTGATACATCAGGCTTTTATGTCTCATAAAGTATGATATAGTGAGTATATTCAGTTTACATTTGAGGTGGAAAAAAACATCCGTTTTATTGAAAAGTCCAAACTGAGCAAAAATATGCAATCTTTTGCTGTTGCTATTATTTATATGGCCCAAAATTATGAAATTCTGATAGCTTGTAACATAAATCATTGAGCTATCTATAACAGATAGCTCTGTTTATAATTTATATAATTATAAACCTCCTTACACAACTCCAACCTCCTTATTAAGTTTGCGGATGACACGACTGTAGTGGGTCTCATTAGCAACAGAGATGAGACAAACTACAGGAGCGAGGTGAGCCGCCTGGCCGGGTGGTGCAGTGACAACAATCTCTCTCCGAATGTGGAGAAGACAAAGGAGATTGTTGTTGACTTCAGGAGAGTGCGCACTCAACATGTTCCTCTGACCATCAACGGTGCGACTGTGGAGAGGGTGAGCAGCACCAAGTTCCTGGGTGTGCACATCACAGAGGATCTCTCCTGGGCTGACAACACCACAGCACTGGCCAAGAAAGCACAGCAGCGTCTCTACTTCCTCCGCAAACTAAGAAGAGCCAGAGCCCCAGCCCCCATCATGTGCACCTTCTACAGAGGCACCATCGAGAGCATTCTGACGAGCTGCATCACTGTGTGGTATGGCGCCTGTAAATCTGTATCTATCTGTATTTATGTTCTACTGTTAGTGTTATCTGTATGCACCAAGGGTCTGAGAGTAACGCAATTTCAATTCTCTGTGTGTATGTGCTGTACATGTGGAAGAATTGACAATAAAGCAGACTTGACTTGAACAGTATAGAAGACTACTTACATAAAATACATATCAATTGAAAAAATATAATAAAATACATAATAAATAACAGTCGTCACTCCGTATTTCCCAATAATATGTCTTATTATGATCAACAATCTGTAGTTTTGATTGCGAGGGGCAAAACACATAATGCAATGCAATCATCTAATGATTGATAGATTCTTCAAAAGCCTGTTGTATCATATTTGATATGATGATTTGATTTGCACACGATTTTTATAAAAAAAAAAAAGAAAAAAAGATTATATTCAAAAGATGATAATCAAGAAAACAAAACTTGCTTCAGTCCAGTAATTGTTCATGAAATATAACAAAATAAAAGTTATTCTTATGTTTGCTTTATAAAAATTATTAGAGACTGCAGGCCAAACCTCAGCTGTTATAATAGAGCTACAGTGATGACTATCACAACAACAACACTTTGAACTTTACTTAAGTATACTTACTAAAATAAACTTGAAGTATACTACTTTTTGGTAAGGGTAGTCATACCCTTAGACAAATAATGTGTGCTTCTGTGGTGTTGATATTATTTGAATTCACTGGAAAACAGAACTGTTTCAAAGTTTCCCACCCCCTCCCCGGTCTGTACATGTTCTATGAGCTCAACAGAATGCAGGTGCCTTTCTTTCTATCACAGCCGCAGTGTGTCACATCCTCAGAGTGCAGCGAGCATTGTTAACATCTAATTCCTCTGCATGCAGCTCTCAGGCTGACTTCCTCTCTTTATTCTGGCTATGGACCGGCACTAGAGGAACGCAGGATGGAGTCTGACGGCAAGATTAGGACACAGCGTCACCCATTTCCTAATGAATGAGAGAGCGAGAGTAGAAACAGACATAAAAGCAGGACGTGACACAGCTATACAGTAACTGTGTGATATCATCTGGTTTAGTCTATTACTAACAAACTCTTAGTTTCTGCCTGTGTACTAAAGAACAAAAGTTTAGGCCTGGCATCATGGCTGAGTGGTACACTGAACAAAATTATAAACGTGTTCCAGTTCCTGCCAATATCCAGCAACTTCGCACAGCCATTGAAGAGGAGTGGACCAACATTCCACAGGCCACAATCAACAACCTGATCAACTCTATGCGAAGGAGATGTGTTGCACTGCGTGAGGCAAATGGTGGTCACACCAGATACCGACTGGTTTTCGGACCATGAGGACAAAGAGGTAATGACAGTCTTTTCATTGATGCTCTCAGGAGGAAACCTGTGCAGTGCAGTACGTTTAACTCAAATTCGCCAGTAATCGATCACTAGAGGGCGCTCTGTATCTGTTACCTGCAAACATTCACCCATGCCTTGACATGAGTGTAGATTTGCATTTTGAAAGAGTACTAACAGGGCAAAATGCTACCAAAATAATAATAATAAAATTAAATAAAAAAATATACATAACTTAGTGTTTAATTATCTTTTGCAGAATGTCAACATACTTGTCAACTATTCTAGAATGGAAAATCATTCCTGTTGTGAAAGATTAAAATTCTTAAATAATAACAGTACTTGTTTGAGGCTTTAAAATCTTTTTTCCTTTACTCTACGAACTAAGTCAATAAGCCTGTGAGATCTATAATTAATAGGAAGGCCCCGCCCTCTGACTATGCGATTGGCTGAAGCGGACGTTCAACTACAGCTGATGGCTTGCAAATGGTTTATTGAACTGTCAATCAAGCCCGTTCAGACGGCTAGTAGTTGACTGATATAGTGAGAGCAGCACGCTGGAGGAGCGAGTGGATGTATGTGTGTGACTTTCATCTCATCTTCTGGACGTCTTGCGGAGAAAGGAATCACTTTGATTGGCTGGATTTTTGTGGATAATAATGCATATATGTGTTTTCTTTTTTTAACCATGTCGTATTAACTTCATTGGAGTCATGCATTACTATTTTGGAGCTTGTTTCTCAGTAGTGTTCTTAATTTTGACGTTTTGGACTGAGGTGAGTTAAACTTCCTTTAAGTCCATCTTTTCCTTCACTAGTTGTAAAGTCAATAGATTAAACAACCGTTTTACACAACTGAAACTCATTCATTTTTGTCAAATTAGATTTTGGGATTCTTGTCCTAGTAGAATTATCCTGCTGTCAGTGGAATCATGTGATCCTTGAACTTTAAAGGCGTTTTAAAACCAGTCCGCGTGCACTGTAATGCATCTACATCGAAACTTTTTAAGCATTGCCTAAAGTAATCATAGAGTAAAGTGCATATTTCATTATTGTACAAACAGATTAATATTTGTGCGAGTGCACTTGATTGGTATATTTGCAATACCTGTATAACCACAAAAGATCACTCCTTAAACAAATGTAAGTCAGTGCACTGTATCCGCTATATTGTGTTGAGCTGCATGTTCTGTCTTGTATTTTTATGGGAGAATGACAAATTATTCTGTGAAGTCTTACAAAGCCAGGCTGTTTTCATTTCATATTTTAACTGCTGTTAATGTTATTTTTAGGTGTGCCAGTCGTCGGGTTATTTGGAGCTCCAGTTGATCAGTGTGGAGAATAACAGGGGTGAGCTCGCGAATGGAAACTGCTGTGACGGCGCACGGAGCGCACGAGACGGTCTGTGCGACCGGGACGAATGTGACACGTACTTAAGAGTGTGTCTAAAGGAATACCAGTTGGAGGTCACCACATCTGGCTTTTGTACGTACGGCACTGGAAGCTCGAGCGTGATCGGAGGGAATACGTTTCAGTTGAAAGGATTCAATGGAAACCCAAACAGGGCCAATGACCTCGGGACCGTTATCATCCCCTTTCAGTTCGCCTGGCCGGTAGGTGTTCACCGATACCCTCTTTCATCAGCTCTTTAACAACAAACAAACCCTTTTTGTGAACGTTTTCTATATAGTTATCTTTATATAGCCTACACTGTGAAAAAATGTCTTCTCGATTTTATGAGTTTTTGAACTCGAATTTTCTTCAGTAATTAAATTAAAGGGTGTCAAAACTTAACACTGCTGGGTGTCACTTTTATTTTACTTAAAAAAATAAAGAAAGAAAGAAAGAAAGAAAGCAAGCAGCTAAACTTAAGGTTGAACTTTTTTTTTTTACAGTATAAAGGTGTTCATATTGCAACCAAAATATGATCGTAACCAAATAGCTTTTCCTATGCTAGCAATGCAATTGAAAACACATTATAGGCCCATATGACATTTGGGGAGTATCAAATCATAAATAATATAAAGTCCAGCTTATGTTAAGGATTTCTTGCTATATGAAGTATTATCCACCTTAAGATGGTATCTGTGGAAATGGTATCTGGTCTAAGATTATTATTAAGTGGAGTACTAACTGGTTTATATTTCCACTTAAAGCCAGCTTGACCACCTTAAGATCAGGTTTGTTGTTGGTCCAAGATGGTACTGCTAGATTTTACTAGCTAACGACCGGTTTAGACCAGCTAGAAACCACCTTGTTCCAAAACATGTTTCCAGCAGATGGACAAGACGCACAAGTGAACATGCATTTGGTCTTAACAACACCAACTGATAGCCTACGCTTTAAACACTCATTGCAAAGCAAATGTTTGACTCGATGGAAAGAGGAGAGCTCGGTGTCACGGTGGTCACTGGCGTTAATTGTAGAGATGATGAGTAGAGCATCTCCGGTTACAGCGCGCGTTTGGCTGCGAGAGCGGCGGCTGGTGCGTGTCTCTCTCTCTCGCGCGGAGTATACAGTTACACGTTTAACTGATGGTGTCGTATTTATAGGACGTAGTGTGTTTTACTTCATGACATGCGGACGGGGCTGCAAGAAGACCATGTATTGCGGAGTTTAGAAGGAAGACGATAGTCATTCATAATCCATGTATCATTCGATCATTCGTTTTTTGATTTAATATTGAAAGTAGAAAAATTAGAAAACGGCTCCTTTTTCGTTTTTTTTTTTTTTTCCAAAAAACGAAAAACGAGAATTCAGCTAAAGTTTTCATTTTTCGTTCATGGGTGGAAACATGTCATGCCTTTGAAAAATAAAGAGAACAACAGAATGCGCTGCTTTAGGCTTCTCGGTCTCCTTGAGCATCTTTCTGGCAGCATGCCACAAACATGAACCACAGGGAATACTTGTCTTTTAAAAGGCTTCATTTAGATTATTTTACATTAAATGCATCATATAAGTCACTTTGGAATAAATCACAGTAGGCCTATGTATCATGATAAAAAAAGCGACTTTACAGTCTGGAAATGCTTTTGGCTATAGCAAATTATTTCTCGGACCCCCTATCACTTTAAGAACCGCTGGTCTACACAGAAGAAAGACCTGTCTAGACTCTGCCCCGGTACGAGTTGTGTCGAGCGATTCATTAGTCTGTTTGTTTGATGAAAAATATGAAATTGATCAAATTGATTATTAATCCGTACAACTGCAGCAGTGGAGGACTATTATTCTGCTGCGTGATACTGCAGAAGAACTGATGATGGCACGGGTTGATCTTCGGCTGACCAATCCGCAGAAAGGGCATTTAATTCCCACCCACCTGTAGAAATCGAATATTGCAGCTGTTTATTCATTTTTCCACCCATGAACGAAAAACAAAAATTTAAGCTGAATTCCCGTTTTTTGGAAAAAAAACGAAAAAGGAGCCGTTTTCT